TGTATACCATCCTTATTTCATATGGCTTAGGACAATGCATCAAAGTATGCGGGTTCACATATGCAGAAAACGTAATACTTCAAGTCGAAGGATAGTTACACCCGTGGTCGCGCTAAAGATGCTTAGAGCATGAACTAAAAATTCAAGCAACATCTTTAGAATGGGTTAGTCCGGCATCCTATTATCTCTAGATAATATCTGCCCATGTGCGGATGCGAACACACCGTCATTGACCATGAGACTAAGTCAAACATCCAACAAACACTAATCTCACATGCATTAACGATATCCCACTCTCGTTAATACTCGACTATGGACATTTAGATAAATATTTAGTTCAAGATGTTAGTCTCATCATCAGAATAACACTATCTAATAAACATATTTAAATATAAATCTAAGAATATAATATTTGTTTACATTAGCATGAGATGTGTAAACATATTATATCTGCCTATACATAATAGAATAATGATAAACAGTTGGCCATCAGGGCACAACTCCAACAATCTCCCACTTGCACTATGGCCAATCTGGCATCGGTCGAATACCCATGGACCTAGTGTGACCCTCATGCTTTAGCTTTCCTAAAGGCTTGGTCAAGGGATCGGCTATGCTTTCGTCAGTATGTACTTTGCAAATCATCACAGCTCCTCTGTCTACGATTTCTCGTATGATGTGATAGCGTCGTACAATGTGTTTGGTTTTCTGGTGAGATCGCGGTTCCTTTTCCTGTGCAATGGCCCCAGTGTTGTCGCAAAACAACGAGATAGGGTCATTAATACTAGGAACCACTCCAAGTTCAGTAATGAACTTCTTGATCCAAACAGCTTCTTTAGCTGCCTCGGCGGCAGCTATGTACTCAGCCTCTGTAGTTGAATCGGCGGTTGTATCCTCCTTGAAGCTCTTCCAGCTAAAAGCTCCGCCATTCAGGCAAAACAAATATCCTACTTGTGATTTTGAATCGTCTCTGTCGGTTTGGAAGCTAGCATTAGTGTAACCGACCACCTTTAGCTCTTCCTCACCACCGTATACCAGGAATGCATCCTTAGTATTGCGAAGATACTTGAGGATGTTCTTGACCACTGTCCAGTGTGCTTCTCCTAGACTTCCCTGGTATCTGCTGGTCACGCTTAAAGCGAATGAGACATCAAGTCTACTACATATCATGGCATACATGATGGATCCAATCGCAGAGGCGTATGGAACCTTCATCATGAGTTCCTTCTACTCGGGAGTAGAAGGACTCTGGTTCTTGGAAAGAACCGTGCCAGGTGTCATAGGTAAAGATCCTTTCTTTGAGTTAGACATGCTAAATCGATCAAGGATTTTATCTATATATGTACTTTGATTCAGACCTATTAACTTTCTTGATCTATCTCGGTAGATTCTTATGCCAAGGACATAACTAGCATCCCCTAAGTCTTTCATGGAGAAGTTCTCGCTCAACCACGTCTTTAC